ATATGTTTTTTATGCCTACAACACAGGTAACTGCTGCACTAACTCATCCTCCTATGCCGTCTTCATTCTGGTTGTGTCTACAGGCATACTACTAAAGATCTTATAAAAGTATGACACTGCCCCCTGATTGATGGGATCAAATTTATTTATTGCCTCCAGGGTTTCATGTTTGGTTAAAAGCTTCAAAATCTGATACATTTTTCCTATCCTAGTCTCGGACATGTAGATAACGGAAAATACTTGACGGGGGAAGATTATATTCAGAACATAACTGTGCGCAACAGAAGCAAAAGTTTCACTTTTATATAAGTCACCTATCACACTGTTCTCCACATCCGCAAGACAGCATCGCTGAGACCTGGTGCAAAGGAGTGATTTTCACAAACAGGAGTATCAAAATAAACCTCCGGAGCTTTTAGAAATGTCTGTATCTGCTTCCAGATTCTGATAGTATTGCCAATGACAAAATTATTAGTATAAAGTAATTTACTGACTTTAATGGGACTATTAAGGAGGGCAGTCTGGGATGTATTAAGGTAAGGTAAAAACTTTATTAATCCCGTAGGGAAATTAAGGTTGCCTGTATTACAACAATTCAGACGTTCCAAAGATAACCAGATAGGACAGGACCCATCAGATGAGACTGAGCCCCTCTTCCACCATGCCAGGATAAATGGGAAGCCCAGTAATATTGTTTGAAATCTGGCACGAAGAACCCACCCTCCATCCCTGGTTCACACAAGTGTTTTTTAGAGATTCTGACACTTTTATAGCCCCAAATAAAGGGAATAATAGTAGAATTTAATTGTCTGAAGTAGGATACAATGACATAATTGTGGTAACACAACCATTTTAATGGCGTCGATCCTACCAGACATGGATAGTGGGAGATTTCCTCCAGAAATCAATATTCTGCTTAAGTTGTAAAATTTTGCTCTGCCAGTTCAGTCGTAGGAGATGTTCTGGGTTTTTTGTTAGCACCACGCCCAAATATGTAAAGGAATCATAAGCTATCTTAAATGGTGTGGACCTCAAATACAAATCAGCTCTTGTAGTAAGGGGCATTAGTTCACTCTTGTCCCAATTAATAGAGAAACCTGAGAACCTGCCAAAATTGTTGATCGTCGTCAAAAGAGGAGACAGTGATGCCTGTCCTACCATAGCCCTAACCCCACATGTAGGGTTAGGGCTATATTGTCAGCATACAGCAAAATATGATCCTTATGACTGAACATTTCGATAGGAGATATTAGGGGATTTTGCCTAATGCTGGGAGCCAGAGGTTCAATAATGAATGAGGAGAGGGAGCAGTCCTGACTTGTCACCTGATGAATAGCAAAAGGACAGGAGATGCTCTGATTAGTAATGACAGAAGCAGTTGGCTGCGAATAAATTATTTCGATCCATTTTGTAAACAGGGGTCCAAAACCAAATTTTTTGAGAACATACATCATATAAGGCCATTCTATTTGATCAAATGCATATCTGGATGATTTGAATATAATATATTGAAAAGACGATGCAGATTAAAAAACATATGCCTAATTGGCATAAAGCCAGTCTGATTTGGGGGGATGATTATGCATAATTTGAGTCTATTGTCTAAAATTTTCCCAAGGATTTTAGTTTCTCGAGGCAACAATGAAATTGGGCGATAACTTCTGGATTTCGGACAAGTTTAGGAATGAACTTATTGGCTATGTATAAAGCAAGAGGCAGTCTTGACGCTTGCTTACTTAACATACACTCAAAAGTAGAAGTGATAATTTGAGACTGAATACTTTGAGGAACTCGACACTGAAGATGTCATGACCAGGTGCTTTGTTGTTGGGAAGGGTAGAGGTAACAGATTCAATTTCCTGTATAGTTATGCTGGCTTCTGATGCTTCAACCGAAACTGATGGTAGTCTCGGCAGAATCAAAATTTAAAAACATCGTTCCATATTTTCAATGTCTAATTTCCCTTGTGACTGATAAACATTAGCATAGACGCCTGCTGAGCAGTCGTTGATTTTATCCGAATCTGTGAGTAAAGTCCCGTCTGCAAGCTTAATACAATGTGAGGCTCTAGAGGCCTGTGATTGTTTCAGTTGCCAGGCTAATAGCTTATGGGGTTTGTCACCAAACTCATACTGATTTGTACCAGTAATTTAGAAAGATTTCTTGACATATGTAACCTAAATTACATTCTAGGACTATTAGGATTATTAAAGAAATAATCCAAATGATTCTTAAAACTAGGTTCGTCTACTGGAGGAGGTGGCAAATTTGTAAAACACAGACACAACTAGATGGTGCAAAATTGGTGAATTGTATTAATATTTACAATATATACAAGTTAGTCCACAATTTAAAGTCCAGAAGGGTTCCTTAAACCAAGGAAGTCAACAAGTCTTTGTTGATGATGAAAAGAAAAAAAATAATCCAGTTCCATCAGTGAAAATTGTTGGGCTGAATCTCCAACCAATTCGGAAGAGTTTCCTCAGATGATAGAAGGTGTTGTATTTCCGGATCCGCTAGACGGTTAGCTCGCCAGTCTGGTCAGCAGGATGCCAGACAATCCTTGGTTCATCCTAGACCCTGCGGCCACTCCTTGAGCGGGGATCTGTAACACACCTGGCCTGTGTAAACAGGCCTAAATAATCAATTTACATGTACATGTATTTTCTTATAATTACATAAGTTTACATAATAATTAAATGCAACTTATGCAAATTTAATTTCTTTGTTTTTTTTTTTACACAACAGCAGTGTTTTATACTGGTAAGTATTTCAATTTGAATGCGCTTTAGATCGGTGTAAAACCACTCAACAGGCTGCGGAGGCTAGTGCTAGCATGCTAGCTCCCGAACAAAACACTCACCAGTTCCCTCTTGACCAACCGTGATTGCTGCAATGTTTGGTCGAATGATCACACGTCTGCAAGTTAACAGAGGCACACGATTGAAGGATGTGCTATAGACATTTGATAACCGCTTTGGAACAGACCAGAAGCCTACCTGCACATCAGAGTCCAACAGCGTCTCCTACCTAGGGTGCCGATTCGCAGCCATATAAGCGGTAGCTGTCAATTTAGGACGCTGACATTCAGCTGTCACATGACGTTAAAACCGCGCGAGAACAATGTTGTTCTTGCTTGGTTTGTATTAAATAAATTGAGGAAAGGAGGATTTTTTAATTAAATCTTTAAATAAAATAAATAAACAAAATGGAAAATAAAATAAAACTGAATCTAATATGGAAGAATTATCCTGGTTACACATAGAATTATATTCATATCGTAGAGCTGTTAATTTATTTAGTGTATCTGGACACTGCTTTAATTTATGAGTTATATAAGCTAGTCAGTGGGTCATCTCTTATCTAACCTCATCTTGGACTCTCTGCTTTTTGCTGCCTGAAACAAAATTATACATACCTTCATTGCTTTCCAGAGCATTGAATCATCCACATCCCCCTTGTCATTAGAGCTCAGGTATGACATAATTTCATTTGAAATATAAGAGCAAAATTCCTTATCTTTCAACAGAGTGTTATTTAAACGCCAGTTCCTCTTATGCTTTTTATAATTCAATTTAAGATTCAGCAACACAGGAGCGTGATCTGATATGTGAATATTGTGGTGTTTGCAGCTTGACACAGATGCTTGCAATCCTGAATCCAACAAAAAGTAATCAATCTTAGAGTAGGACTTATGTACTGCGGAAAAGTATAAATAATCTCTCCCAGTAGGATATAACAGTCTCCAAATGTCAACCAAGTTGTGGGATTGTAATACATTTTTAAGGGACTCATCACTCTCAAATAAATTACACTGAGGGCATTCTCTGTCTAAGACTGGGCCCAGGGTTAGGTTTAAGTCCCCTCCAATAATTATATTAGAGCCAAACCAATCCAAAACTACATTAAAAAGGTCTTCAGGGTTTCCCCCAGAAAACTTGCTAAGCCTGGTGGTCAGGTCCCCGAGGCGACTGGCGGTCCAACATGTTTTTGTATTAAAACATGTTAAGTAGACAGGAAATGTAAAAATATTACTGGGTAATTATATGTTACGGGAAAACATAGTCAGTGAAATGCTGTTTAAACCCACAACGTGTCTTAAAAACAATAAAATAAAAAATACAATTAAAATGAATATCAATTATTTGCACTTTTGTTTAATCTGCATTAAGACAGCAGCTCCATAAGCCCTCTCAGGACTAGGGATGAAGTAGACAAAGCATTTGATATGGATTGATGCATCATGTAACCAGAAAAATACTAAAAATAATAAAGAAGTAACATTAAACCAACGGTGATGCGTGACTGCGAGGCGAGCACGAAAGCTCATCACCGGGCTGAACCTGCATGATGAGGTTAGCGCTGGTTCGTTAACCACTAACCTTCCAACCAACCAGGAACACAGACATACATTTTATCAGTGCAGACAGAGCCGGGTGCTGGGCAGCGTGTTGAGATGTAAAAGCCACATAAAATTCTTTGTTCACAAACATAAATCATTCTCACCGCTCCCTCAACGTGTAGCTCTGAAAGCGACTACAAGTTATTCCTGCGGTACACGTAGAGCTGTGCAACCAGAATTAACGCTAACGTGGGTTTTATGCTCTTACCTTGATGAAAAACTCTGGAAAGAAACATAATTCCTCACAGGGGTTGATGGAAATATCCATACAGGTCAGTCTGTGTCCAGTTTCAATGAAAGGAGCCGCATGCGATCTGCACTGAGGTAAACTTCAGAGATCAAGCAGCGGGGCTTTAAATGCATAGAAAGATTATTTAGGGCGAAATAATGATGAAGTTGAGTCAGAGCTTCCTCAAAACTCATCTACTCCATATTGAGACCTAGGCCACGCCCCCATTTGTAGGTAAATTTTGAACAGGTTTCTTTGACTCTGTCTTTATCGTTTCACAAATGTTTCTTATGCTTCAAATTTTTATAGAGCACAGAAATTTTGATCGCTTAGTTCAGATTAGTCTTATGTTCAAACAATGTCTTCCAGGATCCTAACCCATTCCTTAGCCCTTCAATGGAGCCTGATGCCTTGCTTCGTAGTGCAGTTGCCCCTTTGCCCAGCAAGGAGCAGGGGAGGCTAGGAGGTTCAGGCCGAAGTCTTGCTCCACTCCATTTCCCCTCTGAGCTACTTCCCTTCGATGAAGCTCTGAGAGATGTCTGCACTATCCGACCCTTGACAGAAGGAGATGTAGTGGTTCGACATAGTAACCAGCTCTTGGAGATGAAGACCGCTGAGCGCAGAGGTAATCTTAGCAATAACTATTAGAATATCTTGGGCCTGTAGTGCTATTCTGTCTATGAATCGGGTCATATTTTTGTGTATTCCCTGGCAGAAATGGAGAAGCAGATGAAGATTGAAAACTTGTTTGTCACTTGGCAGCAGAGATCAGCACAGTCTAACATGCCCATATCTGTAAGTATCCCAATTGTGATCAGGAACCATTTGTCAAAACATAATTAATTTTAATTTGGTTATAACCTAGTTCAGAAATGTATAGCTGTTCTGATCATGTTTGTGGCCCATCTGAGAGAGAAGTGTTGGCTGCAGTATTTAAGTAGCCAAGATTTTTCTCCTTGCTTTTCTGAACTTCCCAAGAAAGAAGCACCTGGCAGCCCTTTTTCTTGCTTTGTTTTAAGTGAATGAAGTTTTACTTTCCTTATAAAGGCTGATGTCAGACACTGTAACACCTGAAGAGATAACTTCTAAAATTATCCTGATTTCTGTTTGGTACAAACATAGGCACTTTCTAAAGAAGTCTGCAGTCTCACTTGGCTCAGTGATTTACAGTAGACTCTACTGCCAGAAGTTGTGCTAAAATTGTATCACATACATTTAGTCACGTTCTCAAAGGTATTGACTACGGCATGACCATCAGGCATATATCTGACTATATGTTATTGTTATGTCTTTTATGAATTACATCAATGAACCTTGATAAACTGGTTTTTATCTTTGAAGTTAATGAAATTGCAATGGATCCCATTCTTTTCAAATCTTCCAATAATATTTTGCTGCAATAATTGTCCCTACAGGGAACAGATTTGGAGACTCTGAAGCAGTCATCAAGGCTTGTCCACTACTGTGCCACCCCACTTCTCTTTGACCCCAGCTTCCGTAAGCGAATTCAAGAGGAACCAACTCAGACTATTGTAAAGGCATGTATTCTATTTAAAGATGTTCTAAAACATTACTCCCACCTGTATTGTTAAGAGAACCATCTGGTCAAAACAAAAATAATATCTTTTGCCAAAAAAACAATGCTTCAAGTTGTTTAAACTATGTATTTCATGCACTGTTTATTTAAGAAACATCACCATTTTTCTAACTGACATAAATGAAACTAAATGTTTCTTGTTTTACATCAGTTTGCACTACTGAAAAAAAACTCTAAAAAACCTTTTTTAAACTTAGTTTAAAAATCAAGTAATGAGGACATCTGGCCCATTTCTTAACCTCCTACCAATTCCAATTTTTTTGTCAAATTGAATTTTTTCGTTCACACTTCCAAATATATGCGACCTGTATGTGTTCTCCAATGTGAACTGCAAACGACCTGAAAGTTTCCCGCATATACAGTAGAGGGCACAATAATGTCACACACAGAGAGCATTCTCAGTGTTTTGCCAACTGCCATAAAAAAGTAGTGCTCAGTGTTTGCTAATGGTGGAGCAACGTATCTTACGATTTTGAAGTTATTATCTGACCAGAGTAAGCAGATAAACAACTCAATCCTTAATACAGTCCACCATGGTTGTTTTTCTTCCCGCTTGGGCATATGAGGACACAGAATAGTGACATTTGTTAAGTATCAATGACATAAGTCGGTTGGATGCAACCTGGACGTTAAGTCACATTTGAATTGGATACGTATCGGATATCCTAGTGGCCTGGGTCGCATTCGAAAAAAATCCAGTCTGTTGTTCAGACTGTAAAAGATCAGATACAGGTCGCATTATGTCAAAAAAATCGGAATTGAGTCTCTTCAGACTGCATTGTGTATTCAGCCTTTATAGAATAGGCTCAAATTGCACAAAATGCTTCACAAGTTAGGTCCTGTTTACATGATAATGATCCAACAAAAATAGATTTTTTGCTAACACTTTATTTGAAGGGGTGTGCATAAGACTGACATGACACTGTCATAAACATGACATAACATCTGACATGAACATAAAGAAGTCTTTTTGAATGTCTATGACTGTTGTCATGAAGTGTCATTCGGTAAATAATGACACTTATGACAACTGTCATAAACATTCATGAAGACTCGTTCATGTTCATGACAATGTCATGTCAGTCTTATGCACACCCCTTCAAATAAACACATTTACATGAAGACGTTCTAATTACAATCTTTGTTTACACAATAACGGTACACATCGAAAAGGTGTAATGCCCTCGCAGACCACCAGTTGATGCTAGGTTCATGGATTCATAAAAAAAAGTGTGTGTGTGTGTGTGTGTCTGATGAGAGTGCATTTGCAAAACAGTGAAGAAGTGGGACATCTTCGCCGAAATACATTCTTTGAGCTTTCACTGTGTCTGTAGTTTTCTAGATAGGAGCGCTGAACAAGCATGAGCGTATTTTGCTGCCTGGGTGGTGTGGAGCGGTGAGGAGATGCTGGGGGAATCGTATCTGATGGGGAAACACCAATCGTTGTAACACCAGCATTGTCTGTAGTTTCTTCTTCTGTGGATTGTAGGAATCAGTTATGTTTAGGGTCATACTATGCATGAGCTGGGGATTCCCTGACAGAAAATATCCATGTATTATGTTTACAAGACAACCGGGACGTTTTAGAACTATTGCACTCTAGAACCTGTTCTCAAACTGAGCCGCCATCAGAGAAAACATTCGCTATTTTCACGTAAATGTACAGTACAAACACAATGGAACTCTTTCACTTGCACCAGAAATTGTTGTTGTGTAAACAAGTATAAGTAAAATTAGAATTACAATTACAGTTAGAATAATTGGAATTCCTTAATTAGAATTGTTAAAGCGCAACAAAATTTTAAAATAGCAATTCTCGAATGCAGTGCAAATAAATAAACAAGTATATTTTAATAAATATTTTACAAATATATATTAGAAACAAACAGAAACAGCAGAGATGTCAAGAAAATGTTGATCAGGGTTTGGGTGAATTTGCAGTGTTCATAGTAACAACAGCTCTTGTGTAGAAACTTTTTTTATTTTTTTATCTTTGTTCTTGTCTTTATTCCCCGAAAATGCCTAAATAAGGGTAAGAATTTGAAGAGGTGGAGGCTAGGTTGTAAGGGGTCCATGATAACGCTGCAGAGGCAGCAGGTCCTGTAGATCTCCTCCAGAGATGGAAGAGGGCAGCCAGTCAGTCTTGGTGGTGTTTATATCCCTCTGGAGCTGCTTCTTCTCGTCACAGTGCAGCTGCTGGACTGCAACCACGTTGCTCAACAGCAACTCCACAGATCAGGGATAGAAGGACACCAAGAGCTCAGTTCTCAGGTTATTCTTCCTGAGAATCCTCAGGAAGTTCAGTCTCTGCTCTGCCCTCTTCAGGATGAAGTGGAGTTAGCAGTCCAAGTTGGATCTTCACTGATGAAGATGCCCAGGAACCTGACATATTGCACCATCTCCACCCTGTTCCCATTTATAACAACAGGTTGAATGTCTGGTTTACATCTCAGAAAGTCAGCAGTCAGTTCCTTTCACTTGGAGGTGTTCAAACAGAGGTTGTCGTGGTGTATCGGACGGGGCTTTGTAGGCAAGCTGGGGGGGTTGAGTGTGGATGGCAGGCATGAAATGTTGTGACTCCGAACCAGGAATTTTACCGTCCTGGCTGAAGCCTCAAAGCACTTCATGAGGATGCAGCACTGGGTGAGGAACTGATTAAAGATGCTGATAAAAAACAAAGAACACAGGTTCTTTGTAATATCAGGGTTGCAAATTTACTTTGAGAACAGAAGAAATAATTGAGAAGTAACTAGATAAAAAAGTTATATAATTTAGGACATGGAGACCCTTTGCATATATCACGAACATCCACAGCCCTTGGGTAAATCTCAAAAAGCCTAGATTTTGAGAAATGAACCCTACGTACAACTTTGAACCAGACTAAGATGAGCGCAAGAGGAAGAAGATCAAATTTTATCAATGGTGTCATTCCAGAGCTCTTTGCTTGGCTGGATTCCCAACTCTTTATCCCATGCATTTTTAATTTTGACACTAAAGTTTTGTTTTCTAATGATACATTAAACATAGCCAATTGTAGTAGCACCAATTTTTCTGTAAACCTTTTATAAAAGGTTTAGGGTTATTTATTTATAACCCTAACTCTATAAATAAATAGGGTTAAATAAATAACCCTATTTATTTATTTATTTTTATAAATAAATAAATAACATATATATAAATATATAATATTGCTTCTTTGTGTGATTTGGAGTTTCCGTGCTGATTAATTTTTTTGCAAAGCGATAAAAGCTGGTAGCTCTTGAATTGCTACAAAAAGCCCCTGACCCATTAGGGCCAGGGGCTTTAATTAACTGCATTACTTTTATTGAATTTATTACTTCTGCAAGGCAGTCGCCAGATTAATAATATGAATAATATAAAAGTAAGTGCTCAGTTTTTCTGGTTAAATCAATTTCTGATTGAACACCCGTACTCTCACCCATAAGGAATTTATGGCATATCTTTGATCAAGTTTAACAATGACTACCAATTCAGTTAGCCTTTAGTTGTGTCTTTTATTAGAAACAGGTGTAGTAAATTATTTGTCTTCTGAGATAGGACCAGGGTTTAGCGTAAGCTGGTACGGTCTGGTACTGCGTACTACTAAAAGATTCTACACAGTACTGCGTGAACGGTTGCAATAAAGCCTTCATTCAGAATGGCTGCACTTTGTGGCAGAATAAATCTGCGAGCGAAAGGGAATGATGAACTTTAGAAAAGCAACATTTTTTAGTGGTTGGGTTTTGGGATCTCCGTGGATGAATAAGGCCATTCTGCATCAAACCAAGAGGCAAAACAGACCATCCCAGTGGTCTTCCTTCATAAATAAGTAGAAGTTAAACTTGCACAATTTTCTCTCAGAATATAATGAGACACCTAGTAGTTTTAAATAATTTCAAATGATGTTTTATATGTCTGGTAGTTTTATACTCTGTCCTCCTCATATTTTTCTGTTACCAGGAGCAAATGTCTATGAGTAGAGATCACTTTCATGGATTGAAAATACTTTCTTAAACTGCACTGAAGTGTGACACTCGAAATACAAGGACAGGGCTACCAACAGCTAAAGTAGCATAGCCAGGGGTGAAAGTAGTTTTAAATTCTTTGGAGTTTCTGTGCTGATTATGATTAAATTTTTGCGAAGCAATAAAAGCTGGTAGCTGGTAACACTTTATTTGAAGGGGTGTGGATAAGACTGACATGACACTGTCATAAACATGACATAACAGCTGTCATGAACATGAAGAAGTCTTTATGAATGTTTATGACAGTTGTCATGAAGTGTCATTCGGTAAATAATGACACTTTTAATGCAAAGTTGTTCTAAAAGTTGCATTAAAAGTCCATTAAAAGAGCCAATTTTGCATGATTTTGTAAATAATGACAATTTAAAGCATATTTAAGCATTGTTACAGAATGGAGCTGTAATTCCCTCAACCCACTGGCTGCAATGTTAACACCTTGAGATGCCATGAGACCTAAATCCTGAACAT